TATGTGTATAAAATATGAAGCATGAGTATTAAAAATCCCAAATGTATTCTCTCAGGCACATGTTAATGGGGAGGTAGTCTGCAGAATAAATCTGTACTCCTAAATCTTTACCACCCTTCACACAGCAATGGGTCCATTACGTGCACACAATATGCACCTATGGACTACGTAGTTAGTAGATGTGACAGCTGACAGAATAAATTAGACTAGGTTGGAGAGCAAGAGAATCTAAAACTGGCCATGCTGGCTGTTCAAGAGAGAAAAGAAAGAACGAACACTCATTGGACACTCACTATGAAGCAGGCATGTGGTAGCTAGGGAGGTGGGTACACACATCATCTCATTGAATATTCATGACAACTCAAAGAGGGCAGTGTTACTAGCCCCATTTTGCAGGTAAAAATGCTGAGTCTCAAACTGGATGAAAGCCACGCAACAAGTCAGTGGTGAAATCCGGAATCAAATGCAGGCTCCACTCCAAAGCCTGAGCTCTTTCCACATCTCACAGTGCCTCCTCCCGGATCAGAAGCAGCCTCCACTTCCCATGCTCTGCCATTCTCCCAACCCTCAGAGTCTCATTTGCTTTTTTAAAATACTACTCTGCACTTCTGAAAATACAAATCTACATTTCATAAGTCATCAACTGGCCTTCTTCCCTCTGGATCTCATTCCAAGGGCTGGGTTGTAAGTCTCCCAGAGCTCCTTAGAAGGGCTGGATCTCAAGCAGGCTCCCAGGATGCTGCAGACATGGTTCACACGGAGCCATCCCAGGTCTGTCCAGCTGGCACTCTCCCTCCCTAAATACTCCCCAAATCAGGGTAATTCCCACTGCAGTCCATGTACACTGTGATAGACTGAATGTGTCCCCCCAAATTCCTATGCTGAAATCCTAGCCCCCAATGTGATGATATGGTGGGGGTGGTTACAGGTAATTAGGTCATGGGAAGAGCACTCATGAATGAGATTAACACCCTTAGAGACTCCAGAGAGCTCCCTCGCCCTTTCCACTATGTGAGGACACGGCAAGGAGACAAATGTCCATGAGCCAGGAAGAACACTCTCACCAGCCACCAAACCTGCGGGCGCCTTGATCCTGGGGCTGCCCAGCCTCCAGACCTGTGAGAAATACATTTCTGTCTTTATAGTCCCCCCACTGTGGTATTTTGCTACAGGAGCCTGAGCAAACTAAGATGACCCCAAACCCTCTGTCTACTTCCTACTTTAAAAACTCATCCCGAGAGGATGCTACTGCCACTGTTTATTCATTCTGCAGCTACTTAGATGCCAGCACTTGCAATGCACAGACCCCAGCTCATACAGATTACCATCTACCGGGGTAGATGGGGGTGACAGATAACAAATATACAAATAAATATAGCATTACACATTGTTTTCAGTGCTAAAGGAGCCCAGAGCACCACAGGGCAAGATGAAAGGTTAAGACAATTTAGAATAGGAGTCCAAGGCAGACTTTTCACATTAAGTGACACATAATGAGACCCAAGGAGAAAGCCAAATTAAGAGTGAGTGCCTGTTGGCGGTACCCCTTTTCCCTGTACCCAGGTTACATGCCCCACCCCCACCAGCCAAGCCCCACAGCCAAGCGTGGGCACCTGGCCTCTCAGGACTGGTGGGGGTCACACTGCACCTCCACACACTGGCTTTCCCAGTGTAACATGCAGAAGTCTGTTGCTTGGTTTCACCCAGCCCTTCAGAAGTGACCAAATGCATGGCTTCCTTCTAGAAAGGCTGGAGCCGGGAAAGGGAAACAAGAAGGGCAGGGTCCTGGGAGCGCTGTGGGTGGAAGAGCTCACTGGCTTCACACAGCCTCCCACACAGGTGGCCAAGACTCTCTCCCTGGGAAGGAACAAGGTTCTTTGGGGAGGAGCACAAGGGAATGTGTATATAAGAGGTTTTAAATGTCCCTGGTCTGCTTCTGATTCATTCCTAACCCATCACGTTGTTGTTTTGCAAGCATCATTTAATGTCCAAAAGACTGCAGGGCCTCCTGGCCCCGCATGACAGGGCAGACATCACAAGCAGTGAAGACCTGTGCTGGGGACCTGGGCCCTGAGATTTGGCCAGAAACAGGCCTGTAGGTCACTTCACTCAGTTCCATCCCCTTGGGTTCTGTCTAGCAAGCTCTGTGGTGTGAAAATGTATTCCGAATACATGCATCTCAGGACTGAGTATGAAAGCAGAGGAGATGCCAGAGGGGCCCAAAGAGATACGATGTGCTTCTTGGCTGAACAAAGCCATGATGTGCTGGTGGGTGAACCAGAAGGAGCAGTGTCCCCTAGTGTGCACTTTCCCTACATTCAGAAAACCGCCCAATGAATGCAGATCCCCGGAGCTGCAGGTACCGGCTTGGCCATAGGATTGCAGCAGGCTCCAGAATCCTGACCCCTAACTCATCCTGTGTCTAACAGGGGCCCAGAGCAGTCTGCCCCACAGGAGGTGGTGAGAAACTGGTGGGGGACTTCTGGTTGCCGCAGTACCTGGTTGGGGAGCTGAGTGCAGGTAAAAGCCAAGGACCCTAAATACCCTTCAGTGGGTGAGATAGCCACTAACAACGAACGGTCCCTGCAAAAATGCCAACAGCATCAAAACTGAGAGGTACTATAAGAAGGAGAAGTCCAATGTCCATAACTGTTCCTCTGGGGACAGGAGGACAGGACAGCACGGAGACAGATGACCGCAGCCGGACATCCCATCCTACACCACCTTCTTGGGCCCGGCTGGTCACTCCTGCGGCCTGATACTTTGAAGAGTTTGCAGGCACTTCCTTCATGGGAAAGACTATATATGTTTCACTACAGACAGGGTGTGCATGGCTACAACCCCAGCATGGAAATCAAGACCTATCTAAATTCCCCAGAGAACTTCAATAGGACCCTCAAGTGGATTCCATCCACATAGAAAAAAAGAAAACTTTCGATGTACAAACAGCCAGCTGCTAGGTTTCTAGGATCATACTTGGGTTTCCAGAAGCAAAGCATCTCTTCACAGAGAAGAGAGGTCATCTCCTTGGTTGAGGACTTGGGGACTTCTGTCAGACAGATATCTTCATCTCCAGGGCTGGAAGCATTCTCAGGGTCCAGGGTCCTCTATCCTCAAGTCTCATCCCACCCTCTGCTCATGGGGAAGAAGATAGCAGAGCTCGGAATTTGCTCACAAAACATTTTTAAATTAAAGAAGCGTCCAAGGATGCTGTCAGGTGACACACTGCTTCCCACGTGAGGCAAAGCCCCTTTCTTTTCTCCACTGTGGCCGTTAGTGGTGAGAGCTTCCTTAGAGGAGGAAAAGGCAGAAGAGGCACTACCCAGATGGTGTGGTTCTGAAGGACCAAGAAGAGGACTGAAGGTCCCCAGGCCCCAAAACAATTTCCATATCTGTTAATAAATGATTGAAATGTCTTTAAATAATTCAAGAGAAGACTTAAAATATGAAATATTTAATATTCATGCTGAGCTATCTATGACTACTGTTTAGTTCTTCAGTTCTTGTGCAGGTTTCAGCTGAGATAAAGACTTAAACGTGTACAATAGCATTGATTACATGGAGGGAAACGGCGACTAGGTATCATGAAATTAGGAAAAAGACACAAAATGAGAGCCTTGTGCACCCAAAACATGTGAGCCTCAGCTGGATGAGCCATGAGGTCCTGGGCAGGCCACATGGCAGCTTGGGCTCAGTGTCCCTGTATAGAAAGGCAAAGACTGAACTGGCTGTTCTTTAAGGCTTTCCAAGTCTAAAATCCTCTAAGTCAATCCAATTTATCAAAGGTAGTCTGTGTGCATTGTGAAGGCCCACTCAGACAAGGGGAAACAAAGGCCCACAATCATTATCATTTCTCTAATCATTATAAAAAGACATTCTTGCATGTGATGAAAAACTAGAAAAATATAAATGGTCAGTATCTTCTGAGTTCTTGCCAGGAAGACAAATGATAAAGTTGGGTTGCCCACCCAGAAGCACTCCCTCCTGCTCCCTTGCTGGGAGCCCCTAAATTTTGTTTGGATGTCACCCCTCTCCCACAGTGGAGGCACAGCAGAAGTCACCCAAGCCAATCCCATTCTCCCTGCTAAAGAGATATCTGGCCGGCCCCTAGCCAATGAGGATTCTTGGAGAGGGTTCCTCACTAAAGGAAGACATGCTCTCCTGTTCCCCCCAGAATGCCCTCTCCCAAAACTTGATACATGACACAATAACTTGTCGTTAGGGTCATGAGGACACTTGCAGCCAAACGCAACCTGACTGACACACAAGCAGTAAGAAAAAGTGACATTTATAGCAAGGATAATACATGCTAGAAGTATAGAAAGAAAAGCTAATTCCTTTGACATTTCCCAGATTGGCAGCAGAGACCTAAGTGAAGACATTTCCAGTGTTCTGTTCAGTCTGGGAGAACATAGAGGAAAAGGCAGAATTTCTGGGACTCTCTAAACTATGGACAGGGGACTCCTAAGAGGAGCAGCCAGGCTGGGCAGTAAAGTGTGAGTGGGTTTGCAACACAATGGTATTGAATTATGTTGCATTTTAGGAGCTTTATAATCTAACAGATAAGAACACCAAACTTGTATTGAAGAAGCTAAAACGATCTTTCAGGCTCAATTATTGAAACTCCAACTGCAGCCAAGTTCCAGGGAAGCCCCCCTCCACCTTCTCTGTGCCCTGACTTCTTTATTTTTTGAAGTGTCCTATCCTGGGTCTGTGTGTGTGTGATTCTCTGAGTACTGAGTGGAGAGACAAAGCTGTAAGATGCCTGATGCTGAGAAAGGGAAGGAGGAATCAACGTGGCAGCCGACCTCAGAAAGATAAACCACCGCTCTTAAGGAACGCTGAAGTCTAGAAAAATACATTTTGTAGGAAGCTTAGCTCTTTCCAAAAAATGAGATATTGAAAAAAGAATACTAATCTCACGGTTTTTCAAGCAGATTTCTAGGCTACCTTCATTGGATAAAAGTACATTCAAGCCCCAGAGTGAATGGCTCTCTTTTAAACCAACCTAAACCTTAGAACCTTTGGAAAGCTGTCCCCTTCCCCATTAGCACTTGCTGTCCCCCTCCTCCTGGTAGGGTCTGCCAGATTTCCAGCGCTGCCTCTAGCTCATCTGGAGGGGTCCCAGCTCCCATGCCACCCCTCAGAAACCCTTCCCCAGTCCCACGGTCTAAGTAACTCTCGAGCTACCATCTCAACATTCAATTTGATTTCTTTGTCAGCCCTTGTCATTCCTGGAATAATCTCATTTGTTTATTGGGTATCTATCCCAGTCCCCGTGACAGAATATAAGCTTCATGGGAGTAGGAGCCTTTCCCCATCACCACTGGATCCTCAGACTCCAGAACAAGGTTTCTCAACCTCACACTATGGACATTTTGTGCCAGATAATTCTTTGTTGGGGGGCTGTCCTGTGTGTGGCCAGATGTTTAGCGGCATCCCTGGCCTCTACCCACTATAGGCCAGTAGCAACTTGCCACCCATCCTGACAACCAAAACTGTCCCTAGACATTGACAGTTGCCCCTGGGGGGCAAAATCATCGCAGGTTGGAACCACTGCTCTAGACCAGTGCCTGACACTTGGTAAACACTCCCTAAGAATCTGCTGAAGGATTTACGCCTTATAGACGGGGTTAAGCACCGTAAGAGTACTGAATGAACGCATTCACAGGAGAGCTTTTACACATTACTAACTTTCCTAATGGATATATTGATACAGTGAAACTCCTGAGTGTGGCTTGGATTTAATAATAATAATAATATAACAGAATCTAGGGGCCATCCACTCATTCATCTTATAAGAAGTTTTTGTTGAGTGTTCACCACGTGCAGGCACTGCTCGGTGCTAAGGATACAGCAGAGAACAGGGAACATTCTGGTGGGAGGCAGAAAACAAGTAAATAAATGAGATCATTTCAGATAGTAATTGTGCTATGAAAAAAATAAGGCAGAAAAATTGGATCCTGAGTGATTGCTGGAAGCGAGGAGCTGGGAGGATGGTAGCCCTTTTTTATTCTTATTGCAAGAGGGTCTCACTCTGTTGCTCAGACTGGAGTGCAGCAGTGGTGTGGTCCTGGCTCACTGTAGCCTTGACCTCCCGGCTCAAGCAAATGGAAACTACAAGCCACAGAGTAGAAAAGGAAAAGAATTCGTAACAAAGACATAGCATAAAGTTGCCTTTTCCTCCTTAGACAGGCATCTGCAGAGGCCTCCCTGTGGTGGTAACGCATGCTCTGGGACCTGATGGAGGAAAAGGGAGCAGGACAATGCCTTTGGGAAGGGCAGTCCAAGTAGACAGAATGTAGTTTACCCTTGAACAACAAGGGGGCTGGGGGCGCTGACCCCCTCCCAATCAAAACTCCAAGGTAACTTCTTGCTCCCCACAAACTTAACTACTCATAGCTTACTACTGACTGCAAGGCTCACCAACAGGATAAACAGTCAATGAATACATATTTTATATGTTTATGTATTTTATGTTGTATTCTCATGGTAAAGTAAGCTAGAGAAAAGAATGTTATTAAGAAAATTCTAAGGAAGAAAAAATATATTTACTGTTTATGAAGTACAAGTGGACCATCGTAAAGGTTTTCATCATCTTCATGTGGTGCAGATTGAGGGGGAGGAAAGGGAGGTTGGTTTTCCCATCTCAAGGATGGCAGAGGCAGAAGGAAACCCATGTGTAAGTGACCCGCACAGTTCAAACCCGTACTGTGCAAGGGTCAGCTGTAGCACGTGCAATGCCCCTGAGGCCACAAAGGGGTGGTGGCCCTCTCCTGGTACCAGAAGAAACTGGATACTGAGAAAGTATAATCCATGGTTGGTGTGAGGAAGGCAGCAAGACAGAGATCAGGGGGATTCACGCCTAAAAGTCTGTCAAGATGTCATGATCATGACTGAATGACCTGGAGCCACTCGGTGCATCTCAAAAAGCACAAACTCGCAACAAATCTCTGGAGAGAGGACTTTATGCAGCCAATACTTAGTTTATAAAGGTTCAAATATTTACTACAGGAAATGTCCTTTAAAGATCTGTGGATAATAAACCATAACATGTGATTAAGAAAAATTGGCATATGGTAAAATGCATCCTCACCTTCAAAACTTAAAATCACCTAAGATGATGATGCCTCTCGCTGGTGTGGTGCAAATGAGGGCCAGCCATGGCAGCCCCGGGTGACAGCGTGTAGTAGGTAGCTTCCTTGCCTGATCCCTCACTAGCCAGGACCCCCTGTCTCTCCCTCCTCACCTCCCACCTCTGCCTCCCTTACCCTGGTGGAAACTGCAAGCCACAGAGTAGAAAATGAAAAGAATTTGTATCAAAGACATAGTATAAATTCGCCTTTTCCTCCAAATCTGGTTCAATGTCTGTTTTTTAAAACTGAAGTCCTCACAATTTGGTAATGTGGAGAAGCTCATTAACATTGTGCAGCACAGAGATTACACCCCCATGTAGGTGCAGTGCCTACAATATGCGGAGCTGTAATTAATTGTTAAATGGTGAGTCATCCTCATGCCGGAGGAACACATTTAAATAGCCGCAGAGGGGAGGCCTCCGGTTCCACAGAGACAAGGAATTCTCCTGGCTGCAAACAGCAGCCTCCTCAGAAGCCGCCTCTCTGGGGGGAGGCAGAGGTGGGGAGAGGGGCAGGCAGAGCTCCAGGTAATCAGCCCCTGCTGCTGCAGGAGATGCTGTCAGATCTGGGTATTCAGTCTTAAGGGACAAAGGCACAAACCCAAGCACTTTCCTTTCCGAGGACATCCTTTGCTGTGGGCTGCACTGTGCTACAGCCTTGGATGCTAACCGGCCTGTCTCCCAGCCAGGGCGGTGCTCTCATTTCAAGGTCCGCTCACCCTCTGGGCCAGGCAAGCTGCATAATGAAAGAAGGTGATTTCCATATGGGGGCCTTCCGGTAGTAAAAATTCATTTAGGAGAAAATAAATTTGAATTAAACTTACAAAACCCAGAACATGTAAATCAAAAGAGCATTCCAAATGAAACCGCAGCTTGGTTTGGAAACCATCTTAAACTGCAGTTCTAGACCTGGGGTCATTTCTGCACTGAACCGACTCAGTAGGTGATTACTTTCAGAAGCTCTGGTTCTATTAAAGGGTCCTCAAAACTGTCAGATTTTAAAATTAGTAAAATTAATTTCAGTTTGGTGCTACTGGTTAAAAAATTAATCATCTCCCAATTTGGTTCTATTCAATCATTGGCTCAAATGTGAGAAAATCTCACTTCTCTGGATGTTTTTGAAGGAGGGGAAAGGAAGGAATTCTTGACTGATGACAAATTTTGAATTTCTGATTTTTGAAGAAAGGCGGTTTTAGTACTTGCACTGAACATACATAGGCTAAGATTTAAATGAACGCTAATAAGTAAAATTAAGTTAGTCACTGAAAAATTACTAGCCATAATAGGCCTTTATTACATAATAATGAGTGACATTAGATCACTGAGTCTTAACTTTTTAAATCAATGGGAAACACGGTTTGTGTCAGATTTCCTGGGGCACAGTCTGAATGTACGCTGCCCAGCACTCTGGATTAAACTGGGCATTCTCTCCAGTCAGTGAAAGGCTCCAGTGGACACAAGATGCAGGGAGATGGAGGTGGCAAGGAGATTTCCCAAGAGAGGAACACATGAATTTCCAAGTGTGGAACCTTAGTTTACACGCTGCAAGAGGGAAAAGCAGCAGAGAGGGTGATGGGATTTGAACCTCCCAAGGGCGTGGTGGGTATGTTCCAGGCCAAGGTGGAGGCCAGTGCGTTGCCTGCTCCTGGTTCTGCCAGCTTCCACTCCTGATCTCAGAAGCACAGCACAGTGCCTGGAGGAGGCAGGTGACTGGGGCCAGCCTGCACCTCGGGAAAAGCCAGGCTCTGGAGACAGCACTGGGCATTGAATTGCTGACCTAGAAAGGGTCAGCATTTACTCTGCTGGGCAGCTCCAGCCCATCTTTTTTGAGCACAAGGCAGGTTGGTAACAATGTCCTGCTCAAAACCTGAGAGGCCCTAGAGCCTTCGCCTTCCCCTGCCCACCTGGCTCCTAACAGCTCTGGACCCGTTGGTCTGGGGGAGTTCTGAAAAGCCCAGGAGTGGTGTTTCAGGAGGCTATGTGGCTGCACACAGCCATGGCCATAAGAAGACTAAACTCCCTGGCTCTGGTTGCTGCTTCTCCGGGACTGCCTGCAGACACCCAGTGACCTCTTGCTCTGCGAGGTCCTCTCAGTGCAGTAAAGATGCATGGGGCAACTGTCTTTTACGCTTTGGTGTCAGTGTGTTCATGTGCTGGCTGGAACTGCTGAAGGCCTTTAGGGAGCCTGCAACTGCAATTCTATATTATCTGTTTGCAAAAGTACTATTTTCCGTTACGATTTATGGCAACCATATAGTGTGTCAGCTGTGTTATGCATTAAACAGGCCAGCCTGGAAAACTAAATGTCATTTAGAGTTTTCTAAGTTTGAAACACCAACTTAATAATAAATAAAAGAGCAGTTCAAAAGTTGGGAATCATCTATAAATTACTTCTGTGTGAAAAACTCAAAATATCTTATCAATCATACCTCATCTGGGCTTTCACAACACCTAAGCGAGGAAATTCTGACTTGACTTTATCACAATTTATCACCTGAAAAGTAGCAGAGAATCCTGGATTCATTACTTCCCACTGTAACTAAGCTGGCAAATCACAAGTATACAGGCCAGACAGACAAGAGGAGCTTCCTAAACCAACAGAAGGACCCCAGACTCTTTGCCCTAGGTACTAAACCAGCCTGCCCCATCCACTTTAAGTACAAAAAGAAGTCTCAAAAGAGTTCTCATCAGTTACACCGCAATCTCTAATGCAGAAGTTATTGGAAAAGAGGCTGAAAGATCCCAGTAAGCTCCACTCCACATCCCTAAAGTAAGCCTTACTCCACTAAGATCCACTTAGCAGGGATGGTACACTTGGCGGGTACAGGCTGCATCTGATCTGCAGACTCCTCTGCCAGAGATGCTCCAGGAACTTGGACCATGTGACCTCACAGGTCTCTTTCTCCCACAAGCTGGAGTCTCCAGGGATGCTGATGTAAAATAAAGGGTGGACTAAGTGGTCACTGTGGTCCCCTTCCAGATCTGACATATGAATTCTGTGTTTGGGGCTGAGGGGAAGCCCCTTCCTGGTTTAGACATGCCCTGTCCTGAGCACTGTCCAATTCTAGGTACAGAATTAGAGCTAGATTAATACAATCCTGAGAATCCCTGAAAAATCAGTTCTAAAATCATTTCCCTATTCTGGTTAGGACACTCATCCATCTGTCCCCTCACCCTATAGAAGTGGTTTCCTAACCACTGCTTAACCCCATTACGTTTGTCCAAGAGCAGAAGACATTTTGATGGCAGCATGTTTTTCTTGTGACAGCAATGTTTTCCATTGAAATAAGGGAAACATCAAATCATAGATCTTTAGAGCTGGAAATCTACTTAAGTGCATCTAATTCAATCCCGCCACTTTACCACAGGAGAAACTGAGGCCTGGAGTCTTGCCCAGTGGCAGGAGCTGTGACACAGTCATGATTCCCAGTGCGCTCCTCCCTGCTGTCCTGTGTTCTGTGGGAAAACTCCATTTCCTGCTGAAGAATTCCTACTTCCACAGGGAGGGGTGTGGTGAGGTCCTCCAGCTGTGATCAGGTCAGGCCTGTAACCTCCCTGAGGCTTTGGGACACTAACACCCATTCCTCATGATTTACCGCCTGGACCAAATGATAGTGTTTAAAGCACTTAGCACAGTGCCAGGCATGGCACGGCTGACTGTCACCATCATCACTGCTGCTATCAATGATTTAAACACACACACATCTCTTCTTTCATTTAGGGAAGTGTATTTGGTTTATTTTCAGGACAACATTAGAATACATTCCCTATTTCAGTAACTTGAAACTTTCTACCAGATCCCATCATAGCCAAAAAGACATCCTAGTCAGTGTTTGCTCTTGGGAATAAAGTGTCCCCAATGTCCTCAGAAGACCTTAGTTCAGAAAATATTCCTATTTTCAACAGTGATGAAATTTTCAGATATTCCAGTATAGGATGCAGAGTTAAGTCCTGGGGAACAGTGTGCTCCTCCGGGGCCAGAAACCCAGTGACTCCTCCCCTCAGGTGCTCCATGGCAGGATCAGGACTTCATGCACGAATGTTCCTGCATGAGAGGAATGGATCAAGCTGTGTGAACATCAGTGACAACATGGAAAGAAGCTCAGATAACTTCTCCAGTCACTGAAACACCAGGCTCACAGTGGAGAGGTGTGTAAACAAGAACATCACAGAGCAGGAAGGGGAAAGGAAGGAAGACAGACAAAGGGACCTAAACAGCAAAGTCATCAATGAAAAACATTTGGCAGAAAACATCCAAGGGAAAGAACTGTACATGCACAGCAAGGGAGAAACAAAGCTTACTAGCAGCACAAGTTCAACATGAGTAAGCTATGTAATATGGCTGCTCAGAGGAGGGGAAAGAGGAGAGAATCAGGAAGAGGAGAGGGGGAGCAAGAGGGGGAAGGGGAAGAGCAGGGAGGAGGAGGACCAGGAGGAGGAGGAGGAGGAGAAGAAGAGCACAGAGTAGGAGGAACAGGAGAAGGAGGAGGAGGAGTATAGGAGGAGGAGGGACAGCAGCAGGAGGAGGAGGAGAAGGAGGAGGAGGCAGTGGAGGAGAAGCAAAAGGAGTAGAAGGAGGAGGAGGGGCAGAGAGCAGGAGCAGGAGGGGAGGAGGAGGGAGAGTGGGAGGAGCCAGAGGAGGAGCAGGAGGAGGAGGATGGGGCAGGTAACCTTGGGCTGCATCAATGGGAATGCGCTCACTCTAACAGGAAGCCTCTTACTGCCTGGGGTCCAGTTGGAGCTGAGGTTTCCTGAGTCAGGAAAAAACACCAGGATTCATACGGGAGTGGCCAGAAGTGAAGGAGAGGGTGCAGAGACAAGGATGGCTAACGTTGTAAGTAAGTAAGAAGCACAGGAGCACTGTCTTCAATATCAAGACAGGCGTCCTAGGGAAGAGAGGACATGTTCCTCCTCTGAGGACAAAATGAAGAGCAGCAGGTAGAAGATAAATACTGGCAGCTTTAAGAAAAACCTTCCTTACAGTCATAATCTTCCCCCACAGACGGCCTAAACCTGGAGGTGTCAGGGCAGAGGCTGGACAAGATCTGTCAAGGCCGCTGCGGGAGAAGGGCCTCCTTGGCTGGGTGGGCTGCAGAGGCCCCATCTAGCACCGTGATACCAGGAAAGCAGGGAAGAAAAGGGTTCCAGCCCAGGGCCCTTGCCCAATTCAGGCGGCTTGCATTCTGCTTACCTGAGTTCTCTGCCTACCTCTAAATGGAAGGAAAGGTGGCGAGCTCTCAACACCAGCCTCTGCAGGGAAGGAGCACAATGGAACCTTCCAGCTTTGTCAGCCTCTTCCTTTCACGTTTCTTCATGTAAATCAGTTCCACTGAGGTGATAAATTTCTTTTCTTTTTTTGAGACAGGGTCTAGTTGTATTGCCCAGGCTAGAGTTCAGTGGTGGGATCTCAGCTCACTGCAACCTCTGCCTCCCGGGCTCAAACCATCCTCTTGCCTCAGCCTCCCAAGTAGCTAGGATTACGGAAATTTGCCAACAGGAATGGCTAATTTTTTACTTTTTGTAGAGACAGGGTTTGGCCATGCCTAGGCCGGTCTCAAACTTCTGGGTTCAAGTGATCCACCTGCCTCAGCCTCCCAAAGTGCTGGGATTTCAGGCGTGGGCCTCTGCACCCGGCTTTGAGGTGACAAGTTTCAACTAGATCTTCCTGGCATGATCAGTAAGCCCCAGCACGCCTGGCAGGAAACCATGATGTTCTCCTCTCACCCCAGGTATGGAATCACAGCAACCAACAGCTTCTCCTAGATGTGCTGTACAAGTGAAAACCTACATGGAATGACATATTGAATTTGAGGGGGGACAGTCTGCACAGACAGCTATTTAAAAGGTTCTCTTCCCATCTGTGCCTGATGAGCTCTCTTCTGACTCTGAATGCAGAGGACAAAGGCCCATCTCCTTGGAAAAATGCACAGCATGAAAATCTGGCTCCACGCACCATCTCCAGCTGTCCCTCACTGCTCCCCAGCACACACCACACTGTCATAGCACCACCCAACGCACCAAGTCTTCCAGGGCTCTGTGGAGGGGGCAGCGAGGGGGCAGTGCTCCCTTTTAATGGAGGAGCTACTATGTGCCAGGTACCATGTTATACACTTCCACACATTATCTTATGTGTTTATTTTTTTTGAGCTGGAGACTTGCTCTGTCACCAGGCTGGAGTGCAATGGCACGCTCTCGGCTCACTGCAACCTCCGTCTCCTAGGTTCAAACGATTCCCCTGCCTCAGCCTCCTGAGTAGCTGGGACTACAGGCGTGTGCCACCATGCCCAGCTAATTTTTTGTATTTTAGTAGAGACAGAGTTTCACCATGGCCAGGATGGTCCTGATCTCCTGACCTCGTGATTTGCTTGCCTTGGCCTCCCTAAGTGCTGGGATTACAGGCATAAGCCACTCAGCCCAGCCTCATACATTATCTTATTGAATTCTCACAACAACTTTGCAATTGTAGTGCCAGCATTCCCATTCTACATAAGGAAAATGAAATTAAACTTTAATGAAATTAAACATAACATTAAAAAGTACTTTAAAACTGACACAATCAGCTTCTGCCTTCTGAGACAGTGACATCCTTCAAAGCATGGGAAATTGATGTCTTTATCACCCCTCATTCTGTGGAAGGAGACAGGGTCCACCCCACATGAGCCAGCCTGGCCTGCCATGAGTCCACAGGCGTAGGAATCCATGCACAGAAGACGGCTTAGAGCTGAGCTCAAGGGTAGGGACTGAAGAGGACTGAACTGCTCTGTATAACAGGGCACGGTGGGTGTTAGAGTTCTTTGGGAGCAGCAAAGGGGGAGAGGTGGAAAGGGCAAGAAATATACAAAGACACCACAGCCAACCTGGCAAAAAGGCCTGAGGGGATTTTTCAGCACAGAAGTTTCAGACATTCAACATTCACATTACCATGATGTGAGCTCCATCTTCCCAAAACTTGAGTGCAGACTGAACCAAAAACGAGGGAGCAAAGGGTGTGTGTGTGTGTGTGTGTGTGTGTGTGCCTGTGTGTGTGAGTGCATGTTTGTATGTATATGTGAATGTATATGTGTGTGAGTGCATGTGTGTGTGTGTGTATGCATGTGTGTGGGTGCATGTGTGGGTGCATGTGTGAGTGCATGTGTATATGTATGTGAGTGCATATGTGTGCTTGTGTGAACGTGTATGTGCCTGTGTGTATGTAAAAGCATGTGTGTGAGTGCAGGTATGTGTGAGTGCACGTGTGTGTGTAAATTAAAGAAAAAGCATCAGGCCCATGTCTAGGTTAATCCATAGCAAAAGGAAAGTCACAGGCAGAGAAAGGTGTGTGTGAGAAAGGCTCACCAGGATTCAGCGTGACTGCAGAGGGCCAGTCCCCATGTGATGCCCACATGCTGGAGAAGGCCTGGGAAGAAGCACTGAGGTTTACACCTGGGACACCTAAGGACCAGGCCCAAGGCCATGCTGCTAGTGGGTGTGGGCCAGAGTTTCAATCCATTTCTATCTGAAGACATATCCAGGCCTTTTATTCTTCCTTGCTTGGGTTGCTATTCTCACGCCCCTGCTCTCCTGGACCTAGCACCCAGCACCCGACACCCCACATCTCCCTGGCAAAATCCCCTCTGACGAGCCTCTTCTGACTGCCCCGGGGTGAATGAGCTGCTCCGTAGGGTGGGGACATGGCTGATGTGCACCACACCTGCTCTTCCTCCTGGGCACACCACTGGACCACACTTCCTAGTCTTCCTGGATGAGGCAGGGCCACAGGCTGCATCCCAGCCAGTCTGTGATGTGAGCAAGAAACAAACCTTTACGCTATGAAGCCACCAACTGCTGGGGGTGACTTGTTCCAGCAGAAAGGCTACTCATAGCGTTGTGCTCCTCTCTCTACAGCTTCCTCACCCACCAGGCTGTATTTCTATTTTCCACAAAAATGCCTCTTTTCCTACCAGATTGACCTCCTTGAGGAAAGGAACTGTATTATACTCATTTCTATATCCTTAGCACCTAGAATGCACAGCTTATGTCTTCATTAAGTGTGTAATGAATAAATAAGTAAATAACTGGCAGGGCCCAGTGGAGCCCAACACATCTATGATATTCTGAAAAAATTAATCAAAAGAAAAACAACCAGAAAACCAGACCCAACACTAGATAAACCCCTAATGGAGGGAATGGGGGTTCAGGGGCAGGGATGAGTAAAGCTTTCCCCGCTGCACAGTTCCTGCTGTGCAGCCACACCTTGAATGTCAAAAACCTTCCCTAGGAGAATGCTGGCTGGCAAGGAATTTTTTACTGTGCTCCATCCTACAGTATTTTGAAATCTTTTGTTTAAATCGATTGGCAATGTTTAAACACGCCATTTCACACAGAAGTATAATATTGCTAATTAGGCAATAAGGAGTGAGACTGTGTCATTTCATGGTAATGCATCATGCACAAAAAAAGCCCCCTCCCTCCTTCCAATAAATTTTAAAGGATTTCACATCATCTCATTTTTAGTGCAGAAAGAGGATTCCATTCCATTAACAAAGAGCAGGTTCTGGTTGGCTGTGCTATTCCTTTAACGGAGAACCACAAGGAATGACCCAAGATGCTTCACCCAGGTGTGAGAAGCGCTGGTGCCCAGCCTTGAAGGTTTCAGCTCTCACCTGGATCACAGACAGCCTCTTTAGGGACCTCCTTGGTTCTCTTGCATCAGTGATCTCAAGGGATCTATATCCTCTTTTGCTGTAGATAATGGTCTCGGGTATTTTTGTGAGTTTTTTTTTCTTCTTTAAATGTCACTAGTGATAAGAGCCTTTAATGAGCATGTTATTTTAATGGGGTTGGCCACAACTTCAGGCTGTTTTACTTCAGTTTTTCTTATGGCAGGTAAATCACAATGGCAGAGGATGGCCAAATGTTCCTTCGTTTCCCTGCCCCTACAGGTTCCCACTCCATGCAGATAGCTTTCCAGCTGGTTAGCAGACCTCTGCCTGGAAGCTACCCTTTGGAAGCTAGACCTGGCCCCCTCATCTTGGGCAGTAGCCAGCACCCAGCTTAGGTCCCCACATAGGCAGCCACAATGGTTCATATGGCAGGTCTCCCTGTTTCCATGGACTGGGTCCTTCTGGCATGGGGAGCCTGCTCCCGCAGCCTGGAAGGTTTTCTCCAGCCTTCTCTCCTTGTACACATCCCAGTCTTATCCCGAGTCAGTTCTTCCCCATTCCTCTGGTCGCCATTTGGTGCTCAATATTTGCACACACAGCCAGCAAGGGGCCTCTGTCCTCACTGCATCTAGCACAGGGCTCTCTTACTGGGCAGGGGGAGAAATCCTGCCTCTAGGTTCTGCTGGACCCACACATTGCTGCGAACCCAGGCACCATCCCAGGAGAACCAGTGTTCCCCACTTCTTGTCCTACCACTTAGAAAAGCTGAGCTGTTTGATGCTTCACATTGGGAATTGGTATTCTTCCTTCTTCTGAAGGGTTTGAGGCCATTGATTTAGCATCATCTGGATAGTCAGAAATTTTCCACATTTCTCAGAGAACACTTCTTATATTTTGTAAGGATGACACCAAATAAGAGATTAGAGGACCTGACACTTAAGTAGAATATAGGCCTAGAAACTTAATATCAATTTGTTGAAATAGTCTCTTTCTCTTTTTATTTATTTTTTTCTCTCTTTCTGGGGATGGGGAGAGACAGAAGAGATTTTATCCATTAGGTGCAACAGGTTCAACTCTTATACCCTACAAGATTTTCACTGTCCTGAAAAAAAAAATAAACTTGAAAACCAAGAACAAAACTAGATTGGGTCCAAAATATAAAACTACAAAATCAAAATGAATATTTAACACATCTACAAAAATTAACATTGTGTCAACTAGTCGAATGCATCTCAGTTCATAGAGTTATCTATCAGTATAATAGAGTTTATGTTGTAAGACTAAAATGAATAATTTATTCTTAATAAAACTCAACATTATTAAAAATATAACCATTTTTTTCCAATTTTGTTATAGCAAATATATTCTATTTGATGTGGGAGGTAGATACATTTTCAGATGTTTGATAGGAAAGGCAGAGGTACCAACTATCTGAGGGTCTGGGCCTTCGAAGGTCTTAAGAGACCTTGGGCAAGACGCCACTTATTAGTCCATGTGGCCCCTAGGGTACATGCTGATAAGAAGTTCCTTTTTTGAGTTTTTACTTCCTAGTGAAAAGCCTCCTACATGGGTTGCTTGTGCTGTTGGGTGTCTGCTTCTGACAGGAGCAGAGCCAGGGCTTCAGGAAAGGCAGCTCCCAACCTGTGGCCAATGCCACAGCAGGGGCCAAGGTGCCTCCCCCAGCATCCTGCTCTTCCTCGGTGCCCATGGAATGGCTCAGTCCCTGTCCCAAGAGCAGCAGACTCTTCTCTGAGATCAGGACGACCCATCAGCGGCCTGGAGCCCCAGCCTTCTGCTGCAGGTGTGAAGGATGTGGCACCAGGAGGTGTCACCGAGGAAAGTCGGCTTTTGCTCCTTAGTAATCTTTCTCTGGAGGACAGGCAGGGACCCCACAAACCAATCACCACCCATGTTCGGACCACCCTGCTTCCTTGGCCACTCTGGTTCTCACCACAGTGCCCACACCTTCAGTCCTCTGGCCTGTCTGTCACTGACTCAGAAAGGTGGGTCTCTTCACCCTTGCCTGGAAGAATCAGCTTTTCCCTCTGTGAGAGGGAAGACTTACCCAGAGCTCCCAGGAATTGACAAACTAAGCCACTGCACGTATGCTGAGGCTCGGAAAGAGGCTGCAGCCACCAAAGGGAAGTTTCTATGTGCCCACTTCATCCCTTGTTGCCTCAGCTTCTCTCCTGCCCAACCTCAGTTCTTCATGAAAATCATTTCCCGGCCATTGCTGATTTATATCTTTGGCCAAAGATAGAGCTGCTGCTATGGGGGCTGGCTTTGCAGAGAGGTCCCTACCAGGGTAGAGTTCTGGATTAG